TTTTTTTTTTTTTTTTTTCTTTCTGTATTTTAGGACAGAATCTACAGGGTCTCACTATGTGACTGGACTCATAGTGATTCTCCTGTTTTCAACCTCCCAAGTGCTGGGATTACAGGCGCGCACCACCATGCCCAGTCTCAATCCCTATCTTAGTGTGCCCTGCAGGCAGGTCTGGCAGGGCACAATGGGGATGGAATCCTGGCCGCTGAGCTCTGCCTAAACAGGAGCTATCAGGCCGGCCCACTTTTGTCTTTTTGAGACAGGGTCTCACTATACTGTTCAGACTGGCCTTCAACTTACTGCGTAACCGAGGCTGAACTTGAACAGCAATACTCTGGCCTCAGCTTCCCAAGGTGTGCGCTACCAGTCCTGGCTGGAGTCTTGAATTTGTATCTGAAAAAGAGATGACATATTGTGTGTGTGTGTATGTGTGTGTGTGTGTGTTCATGGGGGGGGGGTTGAACCCAGAGCTTTCACACTGAGCTACCTTCCCCTTTTGTTTGTCTTTTAAGACAGGGTTTCACTATGCAGTTCAGATTAACCTTGAACTTCCAATGAGTCTCCAGCCTCAGCCTCCTGGGGTTAGGAGCACAAATCTGTGCCACCACACCCAGCTTTTTTTTTTTTTTTTTTGGTGCTGAGAATCAAACTCATGACCTCACTCTTGTCAGGCTGGCACTGTACCACTGAGCTATAGCTCCAGCGTTTTAAAAATAATTTTGAAGGGCCAGGGAGATAGCTCAGAAGAATAAGTGCTTGCCTGGCAAGCACAAGGGCCTGAGTTCAATCCCCGGTTCTCAAAAATAAATAAATAATAAAAATAAAATAATTTTGAGACAGGCTCTTACTAAGTTGCCCATGCTGGATTGCATTTATGATCCTCCTGCCTCACCCTCCTAGAGTGGTGGAACTATAGGCATAGGTAACGTGTCCATTTTGTTTTGTTTCAAAGTACTAGAGCTCAAATGCAGGGCTCCAGCAAGACTGGAGAACCTTCTACTATGGACTGCCCTGCTAGGACCTCAGGACCCAGCGTTTAAGTCAGGATTACATGTGAAAATGCAGCCAGGGAGATAGCTCAGTGGCATAAGTACCTGCCTGGCAAGCACAAGATCCTAAGTTTGATCCTTGATACCAAAAAAAAAAAAAAAAAAAAAGAAAATGCACTGAGCACTGGATTGGCAAACTGCAAGTTCTCCACAAATATCACTGAATTTTAATTTCTGCCTCTCTACACTCACACTAACTCATCTCCCAGATTCTAGGGTTGCAAAGCCAGAGGCTTAATATTAGAACAAAGCTGGGCCGGGAACTTAGCTCAGTAAAATAAGCACTTGCTTGGCAAGTTCAGGGTCCTGAGTTCAATCCCTGGTTCCGCAAAAAAAAAAAAAAGAACAAAGCCCAAAACTAAACCCACTATGCTCCCCCATGACTGTACTCCCCCCACCTTATGATCTGGTGGGGGTGAAGGCATTTATATTGGGTTGGTAAGAAAAGACCGTTTATCCCAGGCAAGAATGAAAGGTTATTAGGATTTTCCTCTAGTAGAAAAATTTATAAAGTACCTCCTCGAAGAAAAAGAACAAAAAAACCCCAACAAAACCCCTAAAAACAAAATCCAGCATCACCCTACCAGCTACAATCTGCAAAAGTGAACACAGTGCTTTCCACCTTAGTGAATGTTTCCTAACTCTCACCTTTCATTCTGGTGCCTTGCCCCCCCCCACACACACACATTGGCTGTGCAGGTGCTAGAGGTTTAAACACAAACCACAGTGTGTTGCACCCTGCTTAAAACCCTTCAGAAGGTGTTCCTGAACTTCCCAGGTTCACTCCACCCTTGCTTCTCAACCTTTGTCAGGCAGCAAGGAGGCAACTTCTGTCTGCCCTGCCCCCAGATGCTAGGCTTTTTCTGATGGAGCCTCCCCTCATATTACCAGGGCCTGAGGTGCTGAGATGAGATCTCCTTCAGGCTCACATTTTAGTATTCAGTCTGAATTCACAGCTACAGGCCCCCTCTCCCAGGGACACTCACCAAAGCCCAAATCAAAATTCTTCCCCACCCATCTCCCTGGTCCTCATGCCCTCTAAGCGTGTTGATTTTTTCCTCTGAGCACATCTAGCCTCAGATGGTAGTCTATATCCTAAAAACAATGAGCTTCACCCTTTCAGGTTGGGCTACTTGTTTCTCACCATTAGTTCCTAGAGTCACTGCAGCACAGTATGAATTAATTTCTCACAACTGCTGCTCCAAACCACATCTAGGCTTAAGTTCTAAGCAGCACAGGAAAGGCCTCCAGTGCCCTCCCGGGTGCTCAGCTTACAAGGTACTTAAGACCCTCTCTGTCTAGCTGGGGACTGCCAGCCCCTGCTCTCCTACTTAGGGATGACATCTCAACTCCTCCTTCAGGAAAGCCGAGAATAAAGACCACCAAGCAGAATCCTGATTCTTGGCTGATTCTTCTAATACAGAAAAGAGGACAGCAGCCCTCTACCCCAGTGTCCGTCCTGTACCGTTTAAAAAAGTAAGTTTTTATTTATTCTCACTTTGTAACTGAGCAAGCAACATGGGTGAGCATGGACTGTGGTTGTTCAACTGCTTCAAATGACACACAAGAAACAGTACTTGTGTTTTAGGTTTGCCAAGCTGAGAAGGGCTGGGAGCAGTAGAGAATCTGGTTGTCAAGTTCTAGAAAATTAGCAATACAATTTACCAGGGCTTCCATTTATATTACATCAAGACCCCTGGCCTCAATTTCTAACAGATGGAAACTGTGACACTGAATTTCAATACCCTTTCAGGGAAGTCAGAACAGCCTTAAAATCTTCCACTGTCCAGGTAAAAAGAGCTTTGCTCTGGCCTTTTGATGCGGGTCTAGGCGTTAGTTCCCCAGGGTAGTTAGTCCGGGCCTCGGAAGCGATCACCTGGGAGCTGAGTCTGCGCGATGAAAAGGCATTTTTGATTAGGACGCGTTGACCTTGGGTTCCGGTCGGAGCTGCCTGTAGCTAGAGGCCCAGCCCCAGGCCAGACCTCAGCTGAAGGCTGGGAGGCTTTCTGGTTCCTTCGAGGACTGCAAAGCGCAGTGCTATAGTGGCGTAGGAAGAAAAAGACTCATTGCCTCTCCAGAAAGCCTTAAAGACACTCCTTACAGGGGATTCGGATTCAGCCTAGCTCTTGTCCTTCATCAAAGCCAACCCCTTACCCTAGTCTGCCCGGAGGCTACCGCGTCCTCCGTCCCTGGGCGGGGCAGGGCCTGCAGCGAGGGCTCACAGCCTTCTAGGAGTCAGACCTAACGGCGTGGGCTTTTCTTTTCACCAGTTTGGGCTCCACCCCTCTGCCCCCAACCCCCGTCATTAACAGCAAAGAAAGGATCCCTGGCCATTTCCATTTCCTCTGCGGCTCTAGAGCCCTGTTATTTAATCCCGCTGCCACCCCGGCAGCATCCACGGTGCGGCTGGCTCCACCCATCCACCTGGCTAGTTCTCCGCTGCCCCCGCTCCCCTTTTGGGGGAGTTAAAGAGAAGCGGGGGAGAAGGGGGTGCTGGGGAAAGCTGCCGAGAGCAGCAAAGGTCGTGGGCCTTCGGTGGACAGAGGCACCTCAGGCCAGCGTCCTGTGAAGGATAGGATAGGACCATGGGTAGGACGGAGACACCTAGCCAGGGCAGCAGAGAGCCGGCGGAAGCCCCTAACACTGAGGACAATTACACTAGGGCGGGGGCAGAGGGGACCTTCAGGCCAGGGCCTATCCTCTCAAGGAGCGAATAGAATAGCCCCGGGGGTTACCGAGCCGGAAGAGGCCTCGGTCCAGTCACTGTCCACACCCAAGAAATGGGGGGAGGGGTGGTCTGCACTCAGGACTCATCCTCAGGAATCAGCTCAACAACAACCACTCCACCCCTCTTTGATACGGATGTTGGACATTTTCTTAATTTTTGGTAAATACAGCTTTCAAGATCCCTCCGACGTCTCTAGGCGCCACAGATATGCCGAAAGAGGAGATCCCCAACGGGGGTCCTACCGCCTTCCCACCCCCATGACTGCCTGCGGCGGGAAAAGATACCCAGATCTAGGTGTGTCCTCCCCCACCCTGCTCTAAGCCCTGGATCCGGAGGCCACAGAGCCCCGCGCCCCCCAACGACATTGACGGTTCCTGCCCAGGCCCGCAGCGGTGGGAAGGTAGCCTTTACCTCCTCTCGAAGGCTGGGAGGGGTACAGCCCGCGCAGCTGAGCCAGCTGCAGCAGTCGCCGCCGCCCTCCATTCATTCAGAAAAAAAAAAAAAAAGCAACAACAACCTCCACCCCTCTTTGTAAAAGAACGACGGCCCTTAAGGAGCCAGAGCCAGCCCCAGCAATCACGGGTTAAGTTCTTTTCCGGCCCCCCATTCATAAAAAAAGGAGCGCAGCGCATGCGCACACAGGGTCTCTTGTGCCCACCCATTCATAGAATCGCGGACGGCGCGCGTGCGCACTGGATCTCCCTTCCCTCCCATTCATAAAAAAGCCATTTTCCCAGGCAGTGGTTGCAACACCGCCGCCGAGGCAGCGAGCGGAGCTGACAGCGCGGAGCTAGCTCTGCGGGACGCTGGGAGCCTTGCGGGTTTCTCCGGCTGGCGTCTGCGAGTACATCGGCGGTTGAACCGCTAGGCTTCAGGGATTTACACAGACTTGGAGCAATGCTTGTGACTCTGCAGCTCCTCAAAGTAAGTCCATGGCCGGTTTGGAGATCCGAAACTGGCCACTCAGCCGCGACGCTATTCCCCCTCGGGCTGGGGCAAATGGTGCGCTATTTCTAACCGCGTCTCAGCGTGCCTCTCCTCTGCCTGCGCCTCCCTTAGTCGCTGAGGTGCGCCCCAGCTCCCTGACGCCCTCGGCCCGGCCGGCGCGGCGCTGGGGTTGTTCACAACCTGGCACCACTGTTTCCGACCCCTGGGTATTGCCAAGCCTGACTTCCCCGCCCTCTGAGACTCGGGAAGCCCCGTGCGTGTCTTCGGAGTTTGCCTCTGGCCTGGCCTCTTTCCTCCTGCCGCCCCTCGCCTCGGACGCCGGAACGGTTGGCTCTGGGCTTGGTCGGAAGCCGCCTTGTGGGTCTGGGGGTGCCCTCGCTTAAGGTAGCTCTCCCACCGCCGGGCTGCGTGCCCATGGTGCCAGCTCCGCCGTGGGTCTTCCCGGCCCGCCGCAGCGGCCTATGCTCGACGTAGATTTTTCTTTCCCCTTCGGAGCCGGGACGGACTGGCTGGCTTTCCGCCCCTTCTGCCTCCCCCTCGATGGTCAGCACTGGGCCGGCCCTGGACTGGGCATTTCTGCACCCGCTCCTTGGCGAGGCGGTTACAGGCCGTCTGACCTTTGCTCGGCTGCCGCATTTTATGCAGTTGCCTTTTCCTTCCCTGGCTGTGCAGGGTCCGAAGCTCTCAGCTACCCCGAGTCGCCCTATCCTTGGGTTGTGTCAGCCCCAGAGCCCCCGGGCGTCGCTAGGACTGTGGTGGGGGCTGAAGGTGCGTTTACATAACGCCGGGCGTGTGGGAGCTGGAGGAAGAGGTTGCATGCGTAAGAGATAAGACTCCGACTTTTCCTGCTTTCCTTCCTGGTGGTACCAGGCTTGACATCACCTACAAGAGAGAAAGATAGAGACGGTACGTTCTGAAAAATTCTGAATCGCCAAGACCACAGGAGCAGTGAGGGGGGTGAAGGGCGGATTTGGCCAGCTAGGGCAACCGGAGCTTGGCTGCATCGCTGGGGCCAGGGCTGTGCCCAGTTCCCCCTCCATGCAGGCGATCAAAAAGCGTTTAGACAGTAGCTGCTCTTGTGCAAGAAGACGGTTTCTCAATTTTCTTTGATTGGGGGCTGGGGGTTGTGGGCAGAGGAGGCTAGAGAAGCGAAAAATGGTTACATGGCTTGAAGGGCTGAGGGATGGAGGGAGAACCGAAATGGGCTGGAGAGGATGGTGAAGAGAGCGTAGAGCTGCTGGCTGCCTCACCAGTTGCTGGATAGGCATCCATATTGGCAGTCTGGCTAAGGGCAGGAGGCCTCCTTGTGGCGCAGCCAGACTCCAGGGCAGCCCCCGCCCCCATGGTTTATGCTAGAAGGAAAGATGTAGGATCAGTGGGGTACCCAGACCAAGTGACCAGCCCCACTTTCCTATCTTCGAATTGATGGCGTGATTCTCTCCACTTTGGGGAGAACCCAAACACATTGAAGGCCAGAGAACATGTCGATGGGCAGGAGCTGGCACAGTTTGCTGTCTGCTTAGCTGACCAAGGTTTTAACCTTCCTGACAAGCCTTTGTATCCCTCACAGGGATACAAAGCTGGAAGGTAAAAGGCCCAGAGCAGTTGGGAAACAGGGATTTATCAATCTCTTAATAAGCTCCATCTGGCCCGAGGCCGTACCCAATATTGCACTGGTGGATTTCACAATGTTTAGAGTCCTCCAGATCTTCACACAAACGGAGCATAAACATTTTTTCCCATGTAGTGCAAGTGTGGGGCGGTTTAGGAAAGGAAGTGCTATATAGCTGGGCTCTATCTCCTTTCTCCTCCCATATCCCTCTCTGTTTCCCTCCCTCTGAAGGGTAAGAAGAAGTTATATAGATATTCACTGTGAAGTCGCATTTCTGCTATTTGCCATCCCTTGGGAGGGTCCTGTGCTGGTTGGCCTAGGGTGAATCCTAACCTGGTGGTCAGCCGACTTGCTGACCAGTAGAGCTATGTGACTACAGTGAAGTGGGTAGGGCGAAAGAAGACACTCTGGTAGCAGATTTCTGTAATCGCTGTTGAATAGCATATCTTCCAGTGAGGATGAGCGAAGACTGTAAAGACAGCTACTTGGTGTCTGCCTTTTTAGTTTCTGAACTCGAGAACTCAAGACCATCCCCTTTTTGTGGGATGTAATCTCTGCAGCCCGTACTCCTTTTCTGAGTACCCACAGTCTTTTCTGAATTATCCTCTGAAATGGCAGCCTCGCTTAGAGCTTTGGTTGGTTCTGATGGGTAGAGACAACACATAGAATGGATAGATTCCAGGTTAAAGCAGGTCAGAGGCTGGGCATTTAGAACTCCCTCTGTCATTTTTGTCTGCATCCTTCTAGAATTGGTGGAAAGATGTGGCTTTTTGGAAATTAAATTCTGCCCAGTTCATAACCCTTATGCCTAATCTTGTAAACCTGACATTAAATGTGCCCAGAGGTTACTAAGAGATAACAAATGAAGGCAAAATGCAGAAGTCAGTGATTTTTAAAATTAAGGTAGCAGGACGGGGAAAACTTAACATTTTCTAAAGTGACCCTTAAAATCTGGGGCAAGGTGGCACAGGCCTGTTACCAGTTGACCAGGCAGGAGAATGAAATCTCAGCAAGTTCAAGGCCAGCTTGAGCTACAAAGTGAGTTGAAGGCCATTCTGATCAGCATACTGGGACCCTGTCTCAAAAAGATGACCCCCCCCCAAAAAAAAGTCCTGGGATTTAATTAATAACTTGAATCACACTAGGGACTTATCCCTGATGTGAAAGGTACCTTAGTGTAGTATCTTCAGTCCCTAGTTTTGCCCCTTCCACACAAACATTTTTCTCAAATTGGGCCACCTGGCCTAGAAAGACCCCCCCCCCCCCCTCTTCAAATAAGACATGGCTCACTATGTAGTTGAGGATGGTCTTGAATTCAGTACATACTGGGCTGGGGCTTGCCTCAACCCGTTGTGGCCCTCCTGCTTCAGCCTTCCAGATACAGGATTTGCAAGGCAAGCACTTCCAAGCTCAGTGTAGCCCTCCTTTTTTCAGAGAAGTTTTGTGTACTGAATGCCGACTCACCAGCACCTAGTAAAGGGGAAGTTCTCACAAACTGAGGGAGGATTCCCGCTGTGCTGAATTTGAGAATAAAATGGAAAATTTGAGATGTAGGCAGTAGCATAGGTTTTTTTTTTTTCCTTTTTTTTTTTTTTTAAGGAAGAGGAATATTAAGAGTGGTAGAGGGTCCATCACGTGGCCATCTCCAGAAAGAGGTGACTCTTGGGGATATATTTTGCTCTTCCCCAGAGGCAGAGCAAGAAAGTGAGAACATATCAAAGGCTGTATTAGTGCTTTCAGATCAAGCTAGGGGCCAGGGTGCAGTAAAACAGTGGCCACAAAAAACCTGTTAAGTGCAGGTCTTAAGTAGAGAATGTGAACTTCCGAACTCCTTCCAAGAAGCTAGGGGCCCAGGACCTGCTAGTGAGTGGTGAGGACTGAGGCCTATCTGACTGTTCTTCCCAGATTTCTAAGAATTCCTAAGAGGAGGGCCTAGGTTTAAAAGCATCTCTAAGCAAAGGCACAGGAGGTATGGGGTGTAGTATGATGTAAGAGGCGGAGTATTCTTGGCGCTTGGATCTGGGGCCACCCTGCAGATCCGGACAGCTGACAAGGCTGGAGAATGTATCCGGGACATGTGGCTGGGCTTAAGGGGCTCCACCATTCAGCTGTGATCACGATTGTTCTTTCCAAGGACAGGCTCGCCAGTGGAGGAAGCAAGGGCACTGGGGAGGGAGCACAGATGTGCTGGGCCTCGAGGGAAGGGGCCCTTCGGGGCAGGTGGCCACTTGCAGAAGAGTGGTTTCCCTTGTCGGGCAGCCTGTCTCTTTCTGGCTAGGAGAAGAGGAAGTCATTTCCTGCCCTTTCCCAGGAGTACACTAAAATCTATTATTGTCAGTTCATTTTTCAGTGGCTGGTAGGGAGACAAATAAGACTATCTTGATGTCCCTGGGAAGAAACCCAGCCCTAGGCCCACCCTGATTGATCCTTGACTTGGTCCAGTACTTCCCAAATGGTACCGGGGAGACTGGTACTGCCTCCCTTCCTTCTGATGCTAGGGTTCTGTTTTTTGGAGATAAGGTCAGGCCAGCCTTGAACTCACTATCTAGCCCAGGCTGGCCTCAAATGCACGGGCGGTCCTCTTGCCTCAACCCCAGAGTGCTGGGATTACAGGCCTGTGCCACATGCGCAGCTGGTGCTCGGCTTCTGATTCCTCTTCAGGGGGATCTAAGCAGACTGTAATTAAGGGGGTAGTATTACAGTGAAGCAGCAACTTGAAGCTGGCTAAAATAGTTCGAAACCAAAATGTACAGAGAGACTCCCAGGATAGGCCCCGGGCCAGCGTAGGAGCTAAACCGATTTGAATGTGGAAAGGGAGTGAAAGGAACAGGGCTGGAAGCTGATAACTGGTGATGGACAAAGTGATGAAAAACAACTGTTTTGTTTTGTGATCCCTAACAGATTATCACCAGCGCTGAGTTCCTTGGAGCTGGGCTGGGAGGCAGGTGGGGTGGAGGGGAGAAGAAGGAGGAGGAGGAGGAGGAATTCCCAGACTAATCTGCCTGATAGCTTTATTTCCCCAAGGGGCCATTCTCTGCAGCGACCTTAGGGTATAGGCAGGGGCAAGTCCAGGGCTTCCTCCCTTTCCCCCACCCCTCTCCCCACCTTACAAGTCTTAGAGCAGTAAGTCATCACTTGGCTCTAAATTGATTAACCTGGGACTCCATGTCACAGAGTGGAGCAGTGGTCATCAAGAGAGGTGGGCAGGCTCTCTGGCAGCCTAGAGATCTTTATTCTATGTTGTTAAAAGTGTTAAATAACCTTCCCTTGAAAGATCCTGCTGAGACTGAACAGGGCAGTGCAGCAACGCTTAGCCATTCATTCAGAGCCTCAAGCCCAATAGTCGGTAGTTGACCTGTACTTCTCAGAGTACAGCTGTTAGGTTTTCCCAGTATTTCCCAACTCCCCTCCCAGGGGTAAGTCAAGGGGACAGCTGTAGTTGGGCCAGAGTCGGTGGCTGGCCCATTTATTTGTGTAGACTTTAGTAAGTGCCTTGCTTCTTCTCTGCTAGCCTGTGTTCAGCTGGTTACAGGCCTGAGCTCAGCCCCTCCTCACCAGCTCCTGGACCTGCCAACCAGCAAACACAGGACTATGTGCCCTGGGGTTTCCAGCGTTCTGCTGATTCAGTGTTGTAGGACCTTTTCTTGTTTCATTGTACCTTGCTTCTCCTAGTCCTCTTCCCAGAAGCTCTAAGAGTGCCCTTCAGGAAAGTTCAGTGAGCCAGAGATGAGATTCCCTGTTACCCCAAGGTTTTCTTTCTTTCTTTCTTTCTTTTTTTTTTTTTGCAGAACTGTGGATTGAACTCAGGCCCTTGTGCTTGCTAGGGAAGCACTTATTCCACTGAACCATTTCCCCTGCCCCAGGGTTTCCTTTTAAGGACTGCTCTGTAGTGAAACTGTATAAGTGGACACCCTTTCCACTTTGGGACAGCTAAAAATGAAAGCAGTAAAGGGGAGCAAAGTGACAGAACGATGCCAGAGAAACCTGAGAGTGAAAATAACTTGAGCCTTCCTTAAATGACAACAATCCCCTCACCTCCACTCCATGCTGATAAAAGCTGGCTTCATTTCCCTGCTGCTGAGGGTCCCATGATGACGACCTAGGAGGTTCCATGAAATAATTTTTTTTGGGGGGGAGGTCAGAAAAAACGCTTATTCTCCTGAGCCATCTCCCCGACCCCAAGGAGATTCCCTGAAGGCTACAGGGGTGTCCGAGACTGCCAGTACCTGCATACATACCCCGGTGTCGCGCTGAGGTTCTGTAAGCTGGGCTGCAGCTAAGGTTATTTATTGCCTTTGCTCTCTGGATTCAAATCTTCCCTGATCACTCCCTATAACTGATGTTTTGTGCTTTTTATTTTATGGTACCAAGTGTTGTACCCAGGGCTTTGTGCAGAGCTGCAGTACCACCTTTTTTTTTTTTAAAGAAAGTAAGTTTGTTTAATTTTTTTGTTTGTTTTGGTGGTACCAGGGATTGAACTTCAGGACCTTGCACTTGCAAGGCAAGCACTTATTCCACTGAGCTATCTCCCTGGCCCTCGTTTATGTATTATTATCTTACTTTAAGTTACTCAGGCTGGACTCAAAACTTGTAATCCTCATGCCTCAGTCTCCCTGGGGTGCTTACATTATAGACCTGGCCTACCACACCTGTTTCTAACTCCAAAATACTGCCCTTTCCAATGACAAAATAAATCATTGAGGGCTCAGGTATAAAACCCAGTGCTGAAAAATGTTTCACAAATATTTGCTGTTTCTATAATTACTATTTTTTATTAGAAGATGAGTGGAAGTAAAAATGCTCCTGCCTTATGCTACTCCATGTGATATTGGCCTAAGACAGAGGGTCTTCTTTGGCGGGTGTGGGGTTGGCTTTGTTTTTCTGTCCAGAGTCTTCCAAATTGACCATCAGTGTCTTCTAAATGACCTGCATTAGGCAAAGTTGCTTCCTTTTTTTTTTTTTTTGGCAGTACCGGGGATTGAACATAGGCTCTTGTGCTTGCCAGGCAAGTGCTTATTCTACTGAGCCATCTCCCTGGCCCCCAAAACCTCTTCTTTATATTAAAAATCTCTTCCTTCCTTAGAGGAGAAGCAGAGGTATAGGTATTAAATTGCACTTACGAACAAGGAGCCAGCAATGCTTAGGTCCTGGTGAACGGGAATTGATTTAAACCAGCAGAGTTGTGCTGGGGCTTTGTGTTTTTGAAACATACTGGAGCTGTCCTGAGGAGTTATCAGACTGGCAGCTCAGGAAGTTGTTTTTCTTTGTCAGCCAAATTAATTCAGCTGGGGCTCTTAGAGGTCCCTCCTGTGGTGGGTCCTGCTAGGAGGCAGGCGAGGCCTTAGAAGTAAGTCCGCAAGCCAGTGCGGGCAGCAGGACTCTGAGCCAGCAGTGAGGTTTTGCTGAGCTGGTGGCTGGAAGAGAATTTGTGCTAGGAAGAGAACTTGTATCAGCATTGTGATAAGGAAGGTACATTTTAGAATGGGCCAGCCGGAGATATAGCTCAGTGGCACAGTACCTGCCTGACAAGTGTGACATACTGAGTTCGATTCCCGGTACCAAAAAAAAGTGTTTAAGGTTAGAATGGGCCTGCTGGAGATAGCAGATGCTGCTGCCCCTGGAGAGCTGAGTCATTGTGGGCCACGTTCCCACCCTGATGTCTGGCCTCGTCTGCAGGCCCAGATGTTGGCATCTGCCTCTGGAGAGTAGTGGGAGCCTGCTTATCCCAGTGTTCTCGCTGTCTGCAATGGCTGCTTCCACTGGCTTCCAGGTAGAATTCTTGTATGAATTGGAGCATCTGCCCAGAGAAGCCAGGGCCTGGTAAAGAAGAAAAATCCCTGTATATTGCTTGTGCCTTTTACTTCATCCACAGGAAGTACAGCCATTATTCAAGAGTCCCAATAATTGAATTGGGAAAGCAGAGGTCATCTGCTTGGGATATGGGAAGTAAGTACCTCTTAACTTTTCCTGGTAGCCGGCCCATCCCAGTCTTGGTCTTGAGACAAATCTCCTGCTACCTGGAACATTCTAACCTTGAAACTGCCGCTGACAATTTATCTGCAGGACCTGTGATATTCATAACCTGGGCTTCTAGAGTAAGGACGTTGTATTGTCTTTGACATGAGGTTGGGGTTCTGGCTGCAGCACATCGTGGCTACTAGCAGAAAGCCTTATCCATGGCATTGTCTATTCTTAGGCCAAGTCTCACCTTTTTCTCTAACCAAACTCCCCAGGGCTGGGAATAAGATACTCCTAACCCTGATCTGTTGACCTCAAACTCATTTTTTCTAGCAGCAAACACTTGGAACCTTACTAAGACTAAATGGACAGACTGACTTAGCATTCCTTGGAAGAACTGCTCTCCATAGATCCTTGCATTCCCTCTGTCCAGCCCTGACCACAGGAAGCTACTTTGGTCCCCAAGTGCCCTTTCCCAGCAGGCTTGCCAAGCACATAAGGCAAACTCCACCCCAAGGAATTCGCTCTCTGGAAGGTGAGGCTTTGTGTTCAGCTGAAGAGAACTTTGGGGCAGGCACCACCATGAGGTAGACTTGCTGCAGGATAGGAAAAACGGTGTGTTCAAAGAAATGCCGGCATCTTTTAAGCAAGCAGAGCTGTGGGAGCAGAGCCAGTAGTGAGTGCCTAATGTGGATGGAAACTATCAGCTGACTGAGCACCAAGCCTTGCAGAAAACACTCCATGCTCTTTTTGCACTTCTGGGTATAGATGATGCACAGATGAGACTTGTGGATAATCCCTTTCAGCCTCTTCATGAACTTTTTGCCTAGAGCTAGCTCTGTAGATGGACTAGAGGTATCCAAGGAAGCCCTTCCAGGATGGTGTCGACTATTTCTGATCAAACTGTTGTCTCCAAGCAAGGGGAGTATAATACAGAGTTATTTTGAGTGACCTCTTGCCTTGCCCCTCTCCTTATAGTCTGAGTATGAATGAATGCCAGGGCCTCAGGTGTCAGTTCTCTGTGAGTGAGGTATAGAGATGGACTAAAGACTCCAGAGACCTGTGGGATAAACCAAATGGGACACCTAGCCTCTCCCCTTCTCAGGCAGCACCACTGGGACAAGGTCAGCTTTCCTAATTACAATGTCATTAGCATCTTGAAAGGGAGTTTTAGGGAAACAGCTTTGGTAACACTAATCTAGTATGGGTTGTTTTGTTTCTTTTCCCCTTGAGGACTGTCACCTTGCTCTTGCTCTTCTGCACCCTCCTTCCCCCAGCCCCCTGGAGCTCTGTGGTCCATCTAATCATTGTCTTGGATTTGGATCCTAAACTGTGTCCCCTTGAGCAGAGGCCCTGGCCTTCACTGCTACTTCTTTAAATTGATCTCCATCCGAATTCCAAATGTAAAGGTCAGCAGGCAAGGAAATGGCACTTCTAATAGAAAACAATGTGCACTTTCTAAATTTGAACCAACCCGTTTCCGCTCTTTGATTTAAGTGACTTCCTGGGGTTCCGTGTCAGGCCCTGCAGTTGAATCTCTGGCCGGATGCCAACTTAAAATTGCACTCTCTCAGTGAAATTAGAAACTGATCCAGGGTTGGCTTAGCTATTCTAGTAAATAGCATTTAGGCTGAATGTTCAGCTCAGCACTTGGAGAAATGGGTGATGTGAGCGCCCCTTGAGAGGGTTTCCCATCCAGGGTGTCAGGAGCTCACCTCCTCAGGAGTTATTAGCCAGAGGAGGTTGCTGCACTTCGAAGTGGTAGCGATAAGTTAATATCCTGGATAACGGCCAGATACAGCCCTTCCTTGTCTTGTGAATATCTAAAGTAAAGGCTTTCCTTTATCCAGCTGATAAACTCCACAGGAGGAGCACACTGGGGCTGTTGTGTTCGCCACACAGCCCTCAGGGTCCGGTGCGTGGTGGTTGTGAGCGCTCAGAAAGTATGAACTTATGTCCTGGGGTAGTGGTGGATTGTTGAGTACTTGCTCTACACAATTTGCTCATAAAATTCTTGTAAGAACGTATTTTAAAGATCACAAAACTAAGACCTGCCTTGTAAGGTGGCATGTGCCAGTAATCCAAGCACTCAGAAGGCTGAGGCAGGAATATCGCCACAAGTTCAGGGCCCGCCCACACTATGAAGACCCTGTTGCAAAAAACTCAAACCCCAGAAATAAATTAGTTAAAGCAGAACTATGTCCTACGGCACAGGAATTGAAGAACTCTTGTTTTTTTTTTTTTCATAGCAACACTCGTAGGCCACTCATCTGATTGCAAGTCCTGTGTTCTGAGCTGTATAACTTAAATATGGAGCATGTTTCATAGTGACAGAATAAATTTAGAGACTGACTGGTTTGAGCTCTGGCCCTAAAGACTCAGTAACAGTAGCTAACTTTTTAGGGTTATTGTGAAGATCAGTGACTATATAAGGTACTTTGAAAAGTGTCTTGTCATTTCTCCTTTTTTGTGGTATACTGAATTGAACCCAAGACCTCATGCATGCTAGGCTACCACTGAACTATATCCTACAGCCCACTAAGTGTTATTTCTACCACTATTATTGTTGTCATTATCATCATTAATCATTTTAGCCTTGGAAACTGCTAGAAAGTTTGCTGAAGAAATTTGATCCCGTTTTCTTGGTGCTTCCAAGGCCCTGCTGAGGGAAGTTGGGCAGGTGGATGTTAACAGGCTGCGTACTGATGCCTGCAATCCATTCTTTCTTCCTTTTCCCCGTCTTCCTCCAGGGCCCCTAGAAGCCTGTTACTTGGAGCAGTCCAGGACCTCCAGCCCCATGGAGCCCCCGATTGCACAGAGCACCCCTTTGGCTCCTGGCGCAGTCATGGTGCAGCCCCTTCTTGACAGCCGGATGCCCCACAGTCGCCTCCAGCATCCACTTACCATCCTGCCCATCGACCAGATGAAGACCAGCCATGTGGAGAATGACTACATTGACAACCCCAGCCTGGCTCCCCCCACTGGCCCTAAGCGGACCCGGGGTGGGGCTCCTGAGCTGGCCCTGACACCCGGCCGCTGTGACCAGGATGTCACCCACCACTGGATTTCCTTCAGTGGGCGCCCCAGCTCCGTGAGCAGCAGCAGTAGTACCTCCTCTGACCAGCGGCTGCTAGACCACATGGCCCCACCACCTGTGGCTGAGCAGGCCTCACCCAGGGCTGTGCGCCTCCAGCCGAAACTGGTCCACTGTAAGCCGCTGGACCTCAAGGGCCCAGCGGCGCCCCCGGAGCTGGACAAGCATTTCTTGCTGTGTGAGGCGTGTGGGAAATGCAAATGCAAGGAGTGTGCATCCCCTCGGACGTTGCCTTCCTGCTGGGTCTGCAACCAGGAGTGCCTGTGCTCAGCCCAGACCCTGGTCAACTATGGCACATGCATGTGCCTGGTGCAGGGCGTCTTCTATCACTGCACCAATGAGGATGACGAGGGTTCTTGCGCTGACCACCCGTGCTCCTGTTCCCGGTCCAACTGCTGCGCCCGCTGGTCCTTCATGGGTGCCCTCTCCATGGTGCTGCCCTGCCTGCTCTGCTACCTGCCTGCCACTGGCTGCGTGAAGCTGGCCCAGCGTGGCTATGACCGCCTGCGCCGTCCTGGTTGCCGCTGCAAGCACACGAACAGTGTCATCTGCAAGGCACCCAGTGGAGACGCCAAGGCCAGCAGACCTGACAAGCCTTTCTGACACTGGGTTGAACTACAAGCGGTGCCCCTGGAAATGAGGGTCCCTCCTGCCAGTCTCCCAAGGCTGACCTTGTTCATTTGTCATCTCCCTGCCCCTAGCTTGGGACGAAACAGAGACTACCGCCACCTGACCTCTCGTACCCAACAGGAGGAAGAAGCACTTTGGGGGAGGTATTTAGAGTTCTGGAACTTTTGTCAAGCAGATGTCCAGGGTGCAGTTAGGGGGGATTTTTCAGAAGACAACACAGATGTGGACACATCCGGAAGCTGCAGCTGCACGATGCCCTTCCTGGTCCCTCCTTCTGCTCTCTCTCCCTCCCACTTGGCCATTGTCTCTGGCTCTCTTGGGAGCTGGCTGCCTGGGAGGAATTGTTAACTGAGTGCCAGGGTCCCTTGGAGAAGACCCTCGGAGGTCCTGACGTGTGCTCCCTTCTCCTTCTGTGCACCAGTTGGCCCCAGCCTCTCGGGGAAGGTGGAGCACACTAGCTATCCTGACTGGACGCACTTGGGAGTGCTCAGAACAGAGGACAGCCAAGGAGCCGAAGCCTCCCAGGAGCCACGAGATGGTTTCAGAGCATTCCTCTCTCCCATCCTAGTCAGTAACTCTGGGGACATTCCACCCATCCTACACTCTCCTCTGGCCCAGTTCTTACGAGTCACAGACTCGCTTGCCTGCTGTGTCCTGTGTTTTCTCTCTACTCACATCTTTTCCAGAAACTTAATGGGTAGAGAAGGCCTGGGCGGCACATGCGAGACCAAAAAATCATTTTGCCAATGAGTCTGAGGCTGTAGTCTCTTGATCCAGTCGTGATGTTTTTATAGAATAACTAAACCAGATGCTAACAGTGTTTTAAAGAACAATAGTAAAACAACTTGCTTCCTTTTGGGCCACCCCCAGGAAGGGCTGATTTCAAAATCTGGGGGGCGAGCAACCTCAAGGAACACAATTCCCCTGCCCCCAAGAAGAGGATTTTATCAGCGAAGAAGAGGCAGCGCCTCCCATTGGCAGAGTGACAGTTGAGCTGCGCTAGGGTTGGGTTTCCTCTCTTCTGATTCTGCTGCTTGCTGTCATAGCCTTTTGTGTATAGCGATGCGATGCATCTGTATCTTCGTGTAAATAGGTGGTGAGAAGAGTCTATTTTAGTGTTAGAAAGCCCCCGCTGGGGAGTCAGAAGAGCCCAGAGAGGGTGGGGAAGGTTCTCCAGGGGCCACTGGGACGGAGCCCTGCCTTGGTGCACAGCACACCCCTCTCCCAAAAAGCCCCCAAAGACGTAGCAACTCTTTCTCTCAAGGTGCTAAAGGACTCAGAAAGTGCAGCACGTCCAGTGGGTAGGTACTTGTTGCATGCAAAAGCTGTCATGTGTCTGGTCCTCCCTGCCCCTGCCCCAGCTGTTGTGGGGGGGATCTTTGCTTTGTGTGGTATTTTGCCCCATCCTCCCTCCAGGAGAGGAAGTAGCCTGGGTTGGAAGAAAGGCCCCGGGTGACATTGGAAGCGCATTAGGCAGAGCGTCTGAAGCATTTCCAGCTTGTTCTGCGGAAACAGCTGCCTCCGGCGAGGAGGCAGGTAACTGTGAGTGGCATGTGGACCTAATGCTTCCAAGGCCCTCCCCCGGAAACTAGTAGTAACATCTTCTGATTTAGCATAAGTTAATTGTAACCATAAGTATTTATTGATTGGGAGAAGGGAGGGTCTTATTTTTTGCTTTATTTATGTAACATTTGCTGGCTTGTAAAAGGCAAGTATAAGATGCTGCATTTTCTTGCTCTCTGGCTAATGCATATAGCTACCCTTGCCACAGTTGTGACGGATGGATGGATGTTCTTGCACAATTTGGGAGGGGATGGTAGAAAGTGAACACGTTCAGCCAACCACTTACGCTAATTGAATGTATCAGAAGTGTACCGAGGGGCTGGAGATGTTTTCCTCGGAAGAGGTGTGCAGAGGTGGTCCCCAAAATGATAGCGCACATGTGCACTCTTTCTTCAAAATCTTGGGGACTCTTCCCAAGGCCCCCCCCCTCAAATCATCTCCACAGGAAATTGGAGCCAGTTGCAAGTTGCACTTTGGTGATCCTGGTCTACACACCCATTCTGTGGAGATTTGATTTGCATAAGCTGTGTATACACACATGTACATGCGCGCACACACACGAACACACACCCTGACCCTCAACCAACATAGACCCTGTTTCCTGGCAAATGGCCTTCTGAACCCTTTTTGTGTACATAGTTGTAAACAGATTTTTTTGTGGGTTTTGGTTTGCTTTTCCTCTTTTTCCCCTCCCTCTTTCGGCTCACATCTCACCTGCTGGAGGGATGTCTGCAGGACTCTCCAGGACCTCATCTGCCTTGGTGCCCACGTGCTTGGCGGCAAAGGGGAAATGTGGGGAAGTCTCCTTGATTCTCCCAGCTCTGCTGTGCTGCAGTCCTCCGCAGTTTGTGCCGGTTCCTTGGCAGAAAAAGAAGGAAAATAAACATGGCTTGCCTATGGCCTTACCACCCTTCAAAGGCCTGCCAGCAGCCACAGGGACCAAGCACTTAGAAACGTGACATCTTTCTGTAGCTGCTTCTGGTGCGGTGTTTTCCTGTCACTAGTAGCCTCCTTGGCTGGCTGCACCCTCACCTTGGGCAGTGCCAGGCAGTAGGAGCGGGTCCTCACTTGTCTCGCGCCAGGGCATGCAGCGCTTGTCCCTGCTACTAGGGTCCAGGACCCCTGCCAGTAGGGGAAGCTGCTTGCTTCCCCTCCCTGAGGGTGGGCTCAAGACCAGGCAAATGCTAGACACCTCTTAGAGTCCTCAGCAGCCACCTGGAGGAGCGGTTATTACCCCATCTGGTGGCACAGGCTCTTCCCAGCTGACAGAGGACCCATGTGATGCAGGGTTCTCCAAACATGTGGAGTCACATTGATCTGTGTTGTACATGGGGGTGGAGGAGCAGCTAGGCAGGGAGTTGCCCAAGGTTGCACTCCAGAGCATCGTGTCTGCCAGAACCAAGGTGACAGTCACCTCAGTGTCCTGCTCTCCGACGCTGCACCAGGAAGTGTCTGGCAGGTGTGGGCAGTGCAGCCTCATACTTCACACTTTGAGGCCTCCACAGGCTACGCCAGCCTCAGGCTCATGCCTCTGGTAAGCCACCTCGTGCCCTTGTGCTTACCACGACTGGATGTTGGGTCTTCTGCTGCCATTTCTGCTCTGGTGACTGTGCTGTGTCTATCTTGCTTTCTCCTCTCGCTGTCCCACAGATGGGTTTCGTGTTACAAAAAGTAAAGCTGTCCCCAGCTCCTCCATTCCCGTTTCACTCCCCCTCCTCACCACCGCCCCTGCTCACCCTACCACAGGCGTTACCACAGGTTTCCTTTGTATAGAATATTTATTTTGAAGCTCTATTTTAATAGTATTTATTTTAGAAAGTCTACTATTGTAAGAGTTCTTCTGTTTGTGAAGAAAAAACAAGTTAAAAACTGAATGTACTGATATAGAAAAATATCTATAAATATATATTGTTAAATATATGCAAGAGTGCTGTTTTCTTGTGTGTGCGTGTTCACATTCCTGACGTCCTAGCCCGGCAGGGCCTCGTGCACCAGCTGCAGACCAGAACTGAAGATAGGACAGGGAGAGGAAAATCCTTAGCACTAGGGGGTGCATTCCCAACCTTTTATAATTTTACTATTTTTTAGAATTATGAGACAAGCCCTTGCCAAGTTACCCAGGCTGGCCTCAAAAGTGCAGTCTTCCTGTGTCGGCCCCCAAATAGCTAGGATTGCACTTTCTGAAAGCTTTATACCTTATTAGAAAACAGTGCTGCCAGGTGTTGCAGAGCCCTTTTTCCTGGGCCAGCTGTTCTCTACATTTCTAACAAATAGGAAAACCTGGAAAGAGCTACAGGTGGTAGGGAAGGGCAGTCTGCATTTTGTGGAACCAGGGATTAAACTCAGGCCCTTGCACTTGCCAGGCAAGCGCTTATTCTATTAAGCCATCTCCCCAGCCCCCATTTCAAGAAAATTCTACAGCTCTTCCCTCTTTTGGCCTGGGTATGCCCAAGTTCAAGAAGTCCTCATTGATTGCCTTATTCTGACTGGATGAGTAGATACTCCCCAAGCCAGTCCTCTGCCCCCTCACACCTGCATATGTGCTAGCTTCTCTTGCCCTCCACCTGGCTTCCATGTGGTCTCCCCCTGCCCTATCCCATCAACACCATTGCTCAGGAAGCCCCGGCCTCTCTGTGGCGCAAGGATACAGCTGTGCAACATTTTATTACTTTTAGTCTATGTACCAGTCACCTGAAATTTGGACTACATACCTCTTTCCCAAAAGCAAATGAAAAGAATTGCTGATACATGGGGTGAGATGGTGATGGGAAAAATTAGGACATTTAGATCCAGTTCTGCGGGTCCCAAAGTGTGGCCTGTCAGGTTCCTTTGTGAAATCCAAGATGTGGTGTAGAAGTCCCTGGTCACTGCCCCAGAAGACACAAACATGTTCCCTCAGTGTGGTGTGGTTTGCAGTTGAACATCTGGGATGAAGATAAGCTTAGGCCTCCCTCCGTCACCTGGCCCTGTGGCCTGAGCCATCCCCAAAGGCTAATGCTTGGAGTCTTCAACAAGTTAAGAGACGGACTTGAAAGTGATGGACTCTAATTGGCTCAGTCCCAATTAGTGTCTAGCATACCGTCTCAGTCTCCTTATGAGTGGGGCACATGGTAGGCCCTCCCCTGCTTTGTTACTTGGGTTTTGGAGATTAAAAGCAACTATCCCATACAGAGTATCAGGTGCTTAAAGCCCCATCCATCAGACTGCTCTTGGAGAACAGAGTTAAGCAGTCTCCACACATAAAAGTTTTGAGTGCTTCTCTTACCTGTTCCCGTAAGTTCCCAGCAGGAAATAGCTTTGGGGTGGCAGTAACGGTTATCATTTATTAAAACAGCTTCTTGCCTGGTACCAAACTTGCGTGGCTAATTCTATGGTTATTTTCTTCTAGAAGAAAGGAAGAAAACAGGGTTTCAAGCAGTTGTCACTTGCATTACCAAAGTGCAATTGTGGGGCAGAGTATCTTCTTTTATGATAGTGGGGATTGAACCCCATGCTTTCACATTAAGCTGCATTCTCAGCTCTTTATTTTGTATGTGGGGACAGGTTTTGGTTTGAATTTGCAATCTTCTTGCCTCAGCCTCCTAGAAGGCTGGGATTTTTTGTTTTTGTGTTTTAGGGAAGGGTCTACTGGGTGTTCAGGGTCTCACGGCAGGCCTGGGGATCAAACCCCTAGCCCCTGCACCTTCTTGCAGGTGCTTTGATCTGCTGAGCTGTTTGGCCAGCCCTAGAGGGCCAGGATTTTAACTGTGCTCTTCATGTTTGTTTCCGGGGATGTAGTATAAAAATATCAGCCAACAGAGTGAGCAACTGACTACAGGGAAGAAGGAGAAGATACAGGACAGGGCAGCTAGAAGGGTTCCTAGAGATCCAATATGAAACTGAAGCAAAAGGAACAATCCGGTCCTTTTCACATCAGTAAGCACACACACCCCTGTGTGCTCATGAACAGCAAGTGTCTTGGTGGTGGTGGTGGTGGGGCGCCCCGTGACAACTAGGACCTTCCCCACCACCAAGGACCTGCTGCTTGAACTGAGCTCAGCTTTCCAGAGGAGCCCGCGTGCGAATCCCAGGAGCCCAGACTGCCGGCTCTGTGCTGGAGGTGTGTGCCAGATGAAAGTCAAGAGGGCATTTTTAAGAGCTTTAAGTTTATTCATTGGAACTTTAATAAAACAATATGTCCATGGCCTGGGGCAGGTATAATTTTCATAATTTATGGGTCTCTGAGACAGGAAGAGAGCTCGGGGTTTTATTGTGTTCTGCACGATAAATGGCATTCCAGTTGTCTACACGATGTTCTTTAAGGACTCTCGTCTGGCAGCGGTGCAGGCCTTCTGGAGCCCACCTGGGCCTCAGGCCCGAGGCAAGGGGTAATTATGAATACAGCTGTACGTGTTAAACAGGAGATGATGGAAACTCCGTTCCTTCTGTCATTAGAACTTCCTTTGCCGACACCTATATTAACATTTAACTGTTGCAAGGCCTGGAACCAACCCCCTCTGGCTCGCCAAGGCCCGTCCCCTTCCCTGAACAGGAAGAGATGCAGGCGTGTTCCTGACTGGCTTCCCTCTTCCGGCTTGGCGGAGTGGGTGATGAAAGTTCTTCCATCCTTCAGACCACAGTGAAGAAGAAGCATGAGGTCGGCTGGGTGGGGATATAGCTCAGTGGCATAGCACCTGCCTGGCCAGCTGGAGGGCATGAGTTCCAGAGCTGGTAAAAAGAAAGAAAAAAAAAAAAAAAAAAAAAAAAAGCACCAGGAGAAGTTCTACACAGAAAACATGTGGACTGTGAAACCTTGGGGGAAATCATGAAATAATTACAGGAGCCCGGGTGATGGCTCAGTGGAATAAGTGCTTCCCTGGCAAGCTCAAGGGTCTGAGTTCAATCCCTGGTTCGGGGTGGGGGATCTTTTTGGGCTGATGAGATGGCTCAGTGGTCTAAAGCACCTACTTAGAACAAGCTAAACTGAGCAAAGCACAGGGACCGCGGTTCAATCCCCCAGCACCACAGGCCAGCCAGCCCCGCCCCCTGGTGGGCTGAGCTGGCCACACACACACACACACACACACACACACACAAATAAATAAATTAATTAATTAAAAAAAAAAAGAATTACAGAAGTCAAGTTCAGAGCACGGAGTCAGATAATCAGGTTGATGTAGTTGGCCTCATGTTACAGATGAAAAAATCAAGGTGTAAAGGGGTCAAGTCCCTTGTCAAGACCACACAGCTGAAGTAGTAGACCTCGGAGGTAGACTCTGCCTGGAGTGGAGAGTCTCTTTAGCACCCCCACTCCAGTGATCACTCCCCCCGGGGTGCACCCGTGTCCCTGGATTGAAGCTTCCTTCCCACTTGTGTTTCCACAGAGGTCAGGAGACAGCTTTGTTTTAAGCAAGGTTACTTTGATTATCAGGGTAGGACCTAAGCCCAGGTCCTAGTAGTGTGCTACACATGTGTGTAAAAGACGAAGTCCCCATCATCGAGCTGATCCCAGGAGGGAACCTCTGTCACCATACAACACTGCCACCAACCCTCCTGATTTCCCAGGCAGTGGAAAAAAGACTGATTTGAGCTGTGACGGCAAGGTCCAGTGCTCAGTGGAGGGACAAGAACCTTATGGGGACAGAGGAAGCTATAAATGGCCTCAGGTAATTTTTAAAAATCAGACTGTTGGCCCTGTGGGTAGTTGAGCAGAGAACACAGGTCAGCAGAGAGTACAGGGTATGGCCATGCTCTGCGCTTCCAGAGCGGAGGTGTCTTGTGGCAGCCTGAGAGGAGACTGATGTAGTGGGGAAACAGCCGAAGGGGTCAGGGTAGAGTGGAAGGCAGTGAGACTGGGGGCTGGGGACTCCCCCAGGAAAGGCAGTGCCCTCCCTCACAAGCTCCAGGCCACCCTTATTCTCAGGTACAGCTGCTACAGGCAGCCAGGGGCAGTAGAGTGCAGGGCCAGCATTTGGGCTGAATTACAGACCTGGTGTCCATCCAAGCAAGCCTAGTTCCCAGAATGGGCATGGCCGGGGCCTTGGGGCTCTCTGCGAAGACTGCCACTCCCACAGGCCACTCTGGGACACTGGGGATGAAGAGCACAGAGCCTTGGGTTCCCCACGTGTGCTGCCTTAGCTGCAATTTGGGGAATGTGCAGGGGATGGATCCCAAGGCCTGGTGCCTGCGAGGAAAGTGTTTTACCCCACATGACCTCTCCAAGTCTGATGAAACTGGAGGTTAGACAGGCGAGGCTTTGCACTCAGCCCTGCATTGATGGTTATTAGTGTCCCAAAGATGGTGAGCTGAGAAGAAAGTGTATCTTCCTCCAAGCCTCTTAGCTTCAGTTTCTCCTTAAGCCTGGCAGTCCAGACCCTGCTTGAGCTGGGTGTGATGATGCATTTCTAGCAATCCCACTGCTATGATCCCACTCCTGTTATCCTTATAATCCCACTCCTGTTATCCTTATAATCTGGGAGGCTGAAGCAGGAGGAGTGCAAGTTTGAGCCCAGCCTAAGCAATTTAGACAATTAGCATGGTCCTGTTTCCAAGTGTTAACGGAGTGGGTAAGGGTCTAGCTCAGTGTGAAGGTATGCATTCAAGCTTCAGTACTGAAAAATCAGAACAGGGCCAGCCAAATAGTTCAGTGGATTAAAGCGCCTGCAAGCAGGTGCAGGGGCCGGGAGTTTGATCCCCGGACCTGCCATGCTGGCCCCAACCCCGGGGTGCGCTGAGACGGCAGTTGAGACTGAGCATGGTGGCATGTGCCTGTAATCCCAGCTCTTGGGAGGTTGTAAACAGGAGAGTCAATACAAGTCCAATCTAGTAGTAAGATCCTGAACACCCTGTAGACCCTTCCTTAAAATACAAAAAAAAAAAAAAAAAAAAAAAAAAAATCAGAACAAAAACCTCCTAGGTTGTCATTACAT